GACAGTGTCATAAAAGCACTATTATCATATCCAATCATGTACAGGCACTGGCTATATTTATATATATATATAGACAGTGTCATAAAAGCACTATTATCATATCCAATCATGTACAGGCACTGGCTATATTTATATATATATATAGACAGTGTCATAAAAGCACTATTATCATATCCAATCATGTACAGGCACTGGCTATATTTATATATATATATAGACAGTGTCATAAAAGCACTATTATCATATCCAATCATGTACAGGCACTGGCTATATTTCATCTGTTATAAAGAATCTAAAGCTGACAGGGCTGGGAAAGTCAGCAGCAATCCACAAATTCTTCTCCAAACATTTCACTGACCTCCAAAGACTTAACTCCATTTTTAGTCTGGCAGTCATAAAAGCCTTGTCAAACCCTTGAGATGAAAACTCCAGTGTGTGTTGTGCAAACCAAGTGCCTAAAAATACTGAGCACAGCACATCTCACTGAAGCTCATCCACACGTCCGACATGTGGGACTGGGTCTGGAGAATATACACGGGGTAGTGAAACGATTGCTGGTAGTTGAAATGCCTGTGAAGTAGCAAATGGTGGTTACATCGCATGGCATAAAAGTCGGCCATCTGAATCAACATTTGGACAGTAAACCAGCAGGCCACATGAAAAGAGGTTGATGTGGGAGAAGTCCGGATGGTAGTAATTCACAGCTGAGAATATCTTCACTCGGGTCCATAGGTTAATTCTTCTCCTTGTGGTTGAGCAGCTGGGCTAACCTCAAGCCCAATGGCCCACTGCTAATCCCAGCAACGTAAAACAATCTGGTCACGCTGCTCTGGTCGGCTGCCCCCTCATAATCTCCCCCTGCAATCAGGACTTTTCATTCCTCGACTGATCAACAAACTTGCCCTTTTAAAACCAAAAGAGTGTGTCTAAAGTGGGCATTATCGCACGTGGACACAGTTGGCGGCTGGCCTCAGTGAGACACATGTGACGCAGTAGAGAACACAGAGGCTCTGTAGACTTAATCAAAAAATGTCAAACAGGTAGTCTCAATGCGTTAGGAGACTTACCTTCCCTCCCTGCAACCTCTTCTTAACATTCAGTGGGGGGTAATTAATTCGATCACGGCGGATCACCTTCTGTCCTTTGTGAATCCAAACATAAACACAGCCAGAGCAAGTGTTCAAAGGCTTCCCTTTTCCAAGAAGAGCACTATGACTAAGTGGAGAGTTGGGCTGTAACCGTAGAAAGAGGACACAGAGGGAGGAGGAAGGAGGCGGAGTGCCCCCCCCCCCCCCCCTCCTCCTCCTCTCCCTGGAACAATGCTAAAATGATTCCCCTGAAGCCAACGGTAAACTCACTCACACTATCGCTCTCTCCCTCTCTCCCTCGCCCTCTCCCTCTCTCTCTCTCTCTCTCTCCCTCTCTCCCTCTCTCTCCCTCCCCCCCCCGTCTATAGAGTGAGTCACACCACGTCTTTGAATGTAAACAGGCTCCCATCTTCCAACGGTCCCACAGATTCGCCATCCAGGCAGGGCCCTATAAACAAGCTGGCTCTCAGCCACCTGGCACAGCACCAGGACAGCCTGCCACAAGCACTGCTGTTGGGAACGCTCCAGGGCCCCCACCTCCCCGAGACCAACACAAGAAGGTTTACCGTCTAAATGACACATAAGACACACACAAAGACAGACACGTGTGAAGACAAGAAGCTTCTGACAAGACGGGATTCACCCCAAACCACCGCTGTTTAGTAGTTACGAGCAAGTGTGAGTGTGTGTGGTTACACAGGGTGGAGAAGGGGGGGTTGATAGGTGACAGCTGTAAACATGAGAAGCCACTGTTCGTACTCTTTGAAGCAGTGTATGTTTTCGCACTCTGGCCCTGTCAGGCAGGAGGAGGTGATACAAATGCTCCAAAAATCATTCCCACCTCAGCAGCTGACTGTTTAGCGCCGGTTTGCTAGGAACAGGAACAGCTCACACATGAAACATCAAGGCAATTAGGATTGGATGGCCAAAGAACACAGCGGACCTCACACATGAAACCACAATAATCAAATTCCCCTTCCATTATCCAACAACAAATCAAACCTCGTTGTTCACACATAAAACAATCTGGGGTTCATGTAATGGCCGACTGTAAGTAAACAACATGGCTATCTTCCATCTTCTTGTTGGGTGGGTGACGTACTTTATGAGGACTGACCCTGAGATAGTAGTGACCACTACTTCCTGTCGGAGGAGGTCCTCTGGAGGGTCGTAGAGGGCTTCCCCATATGTAACACAAACAGGAAATGCCGCATGTAATGCTCACACACTGCTCCCAGGGCGGAAGTGTGGGCTAAAACTTAATTATAGGGAGCTTATGTACAGATTTACAAAAAGTTTCACATCATACATGGGAAATTCTATATCCCGTAGATGCTCCATCTTCATATCTAAAAAAACAAACACTCAAAGTGTCTTTACTATTCCTTCCTGTCCATACAAAACACCAAATAATATCTTATGATAAATTCAGTAGAAACATTAAACAACCTATTCTTCAGGGACTGAAACAGAACACATTCATGGGCCTGGGAGGAAGTCCAGCTCATGGTGTTGGCAGAGAGGGATTTTGTCAGGCTTTGTCTCTGTTGTCTGCCGACCATTGTCCCACCCAGGATCAGCAAAGGTCTAGCACGTTCACCCCCTCCAGCGCTGGCACATTATGTTGGCTGTCAGCAGGGAGTTTGGTGTGATGCTCAACGCGATCGCAAAAAGGGGGTTTTGGGGAGCCAACTCCAACAGCAAGTCTTTACGGTGTCTTCGATCTCTTACCTAAAGTCTCTAATCCCGTTACACAGCAAGAACAACACTCGCATATCAGTAAAACCTCAGGTCAACCAAATAAAGTATGATTACAAACCCCGAGCCGAACAAGGGACAAAGACAGTACAATGGTGAGAAAACAGCAACGGGCCCGAGAGCAGGGAGACGATTGGTGGGGGTTGGGGTGAGGGGGGACAACAGAGCTAAGGAGACAAGAGAGGAGGGTGTGAGCATGTGTAAATGAGAAGGGGTGGGGATTAGTCGTGGGAGAGTTCAGCGAGGGAATGAGCGGGAAGGATGGCATTCCTCAGGGCTCATTCAGGGGCCTCTGTGTGGTAGTGAGGGGTGTGTGGGGGGGGGGGGCTCACATAATGAATGCTGTGCCATCGTCACGGAGACGCCTCCGAAAACAACAGCAATGGGGGGGAGGAGGGGAGAGAAAGATGATAGGGAAGAGGCCATCTTTAACCTCCAGAGTCAGACAGGGGAAACCAGGCCGGCTCTTACATAACACTGAACAGGCCTGGACTTTACTCGACTCACAATGAGAGTTGTTTGGAAAGGGTGTGTGTGTGTTGCCTGCTAGTAGCTCATCTGTCAAAGAGTTGAATGTTAGCTGAAGGTGGGGATTATGGACTGCAATTCATCACAGAAGTTAAGAGACATGATAATTAAATTCCCATCAGATTTTTCTAAATGTCTCGCTGTTTGCAAAGAGATGAACTCAATTTTAACCACTGCTCAAGCACACGTGATTAGACACACACAGCTATCCTGCGTCGTACAAATCCCTTCAGTCAGAGTCTGAAGCTGGCATGTGAGAGCTTTAGGAAGATGGTGAAATGTGCGATAAAATAAAGTTAAGGGGCCCTTTGGAAACCAACAAGGTATAATCTGATTGGCCTCTGGGGCAGCAAATCAACTTAACAGTCAGCAAATCTCAATTAGTCTCAGCAGCTCTGGTGTCTCACGCCCACAAACACAGTCCCAGATACCTCTGTCGCTGTTCTGCATATTGCTGTGGTCATCTCAATAACCAACTAAATATGCTATGGGGACCTGGCTGTCAGCAGATGTTCTGTCTCTCCTTACGCTCCTGCCTTGAATAACTGTCGTTTGGAAAAGCCATCAGCTGAGTCACTTTGGCAGAGAGAGGGATATGGATTTGGAAGCTCTTAAATATACCCCCTGGGAATAGAGGGGGTCTGAAAAACAGGGGTTATTATTAACACTGACTGGACAGGAAGAGGAAATGGGGTCGTACAGGCCATGCTTCTGCTGCACAAACACCTCGGAGCACCAACCAATGGGATCACTGCGATCTGAGCAGAGGAAGGAAACTGAAAAGACAAAGAGGATTCGCTGAGGACGTTGAATCCACTTCGTCAGCGTGCAGGCATCGTTTTTTTTCTCTCACTTTTCAACAAACCGGTCATAAGAATATCAAGCAGAAGAATGAAGTGACATTTTGGGCTTAAGGCGAAGCTGGTAGACCCCTGCTTCCCGTCAGGCCCCTCTAGAGAGCCAGCTGTCCTGCAACAGCTGAACTGATGCACCTCCCTCCTCTGAGCCAAGATGTCTACCAGTTGTGCATGTCTGTGGCTCCCGTTGCCCGACATCCAGAAGAGAGCTGGGCTGGGCCAGAGGACAGCCACTAGGAGCTTTTTCAAGGGACAGGATGAGGCCAAACCCAACGGAATTCCAGAGAGACCCCGCCTCTGGAATTTGAAAGTGCATCTGAAGCTCTGATCCCATTGAAAGACACTCTTTGAATGATTACAACTGGACCGCACACACAAAACCTGTTCAAACCAGTCTCAAGTCTCTGAGATAAGCTCAGGGACACAAAAGAGCAGAAAAACAATGATATGTTAACAATAATCATCATCGCCGTTAAGAAATGGATGCGCAAAACCTGTGGAAACCATGGAAGCAGCAACCTGAAAAATACCGTGTCTGTATGCTGCAAGTCAGCTGATCCAGTCAGAGCAGCATGCCTAAGGCCAGTTCACATGCGGTGCCACTGGTTCTTCATGAAAACACTGGAGATATTCTCACAACAGCACCAGAAGTAAAAGCAGCGTTTCAATCATTTCTAAAAGAAAACTGTGCCTCTGTGATCTCGCTCTTGAGAATACCATAAAATCTTAAGCGTTCAAAAGAGAGTGAAACACGGGACGTGTGGAGAAATAAGGACATCGCCACTGTTAACGAGACCAAGGTGCGTAGGCACACAACCGGATCCCCAGTTCAAAGTGCAACTTTTCTTTCCGCAAAGGGAAAAATAAATACAGGCAGACTTAAAAGACCATCTGGAAAGGGCTGAAAATGAGCTTACCACACCAGGAGCGTACAGATGAAACATGTCTTCACAGTGTGCGTAAAAGATTTTGCGGCGGGAGATGAAAAGCACGAGAGGCTTGCGCTCTTGGAGTAAACACGCAGACAATGTGTGACTCATTAGCAACTTAAAAACTTTATCTAGCCCATAAGACGCCCCCGACATGACTCACAGCCAGACAGTCTCAAAGCACGCGAGGGGAAGCTTCTTCTGTTTGGGCTTTTTTTTTTTGTATACTTTTGCTTTCACGTGCATGTTTTATAAAAACAAAAAAAAAAACACTTCCCCAAAGTAGAAATGTTTTCAGTTTTGTTGGTTGTGTCATCAGACACTTTAGGGTAGAGGTTTCTACATTATTTTCCCTAAAGTCAGACTGAAATTAGACCAACATTCCTTTTACTAAACTTGTTGCACACTCATGAAAAGTCAAGCTACCTTGTCCCCTCTTTAATGTGTGATTCAGTGATTCAACTGTGGTATGAGCTCATGAAACAATGCAGACAGAGTTGAGGTTTTAGGTACTAATGTACCTAACTCTTTCTGAACCTTCTTAAAAAGCAATACAAAGCCAGTTGACAATCAGGAATAGCGAGTTCTAAGCGTCCAATGTCAGCAGAGATTGAATGCCGGTGCAACGCTATGTCATTACGGGGCTAAATGAAAGGGAACATACAAGTCATTTGGTGTTCTTCTCCATTCAGCATACCTACTCACTGCGTAGAGAAAGGACTCAGCTGACCATGGGGGACAACTGGGTTTAAGTGAGAACCTTTGTTCCCTTTTAGTGGTCCATTATACGCCCCAGGCTGGCCCATAAGACAAAAGAGTGCTGTGACCCTGATGTGAACCACCGTGGGTCACTTCTGGGTTGTCTTACACCATGCGGTCATGTGTCCTCAGCAGACTTTTAACATCCACTCAAACCTCAGCAGGTCTCCTGTAGCTGGAAAGCTCGGGGGAGAGGAGCCCACACACAGTGAAGACAGGCACACTGTGGTGAAATCCCATACAGATGTTATCAGGTTGACGATAACAACACGCGGACACATAAGTGCATTGAAAGGTGGGTGTAATTCAATACAGATGTCATAAGCCGGTTGATCTGCAACACCTACATCATGGAAAGAGAGTTTGCTTCAGTTTCCTGTGCCCAATAACCACATGTGACTGACATGTTTACCTCTGGAGACCACGGTACTTCCCTGATGAGCTCCACAGACTCAAAGTACCCAGAAATTCCCAGGACATGTGATAAGACTTGGGCAATGAGTAACAGATTTGGCACTCAAGGCCTCGAAAAAGTGTGTGCTTCTATAATAATGAACATAGACAAATGCAAAGATATGAGCTTTACAAAGACAGGAAGCGGCACCAAGCAACCGGTGCTTAGAATAACACGCAGGGTGTGTTGTGTGGAAACTCTTCTATCTGTAATGAACAGATTTATTAATAGCACAAAACAAAAGGGAAACTGCCGTTGGAAGAACTGGGATTGTCCCATCTCCACAAAGAACACTATTGTTTTTCAACTGCCGTAAGCTAATAACATTTCATCTCCGCTGAAGAGAAGAAAACAAAAGGGAACATGTGGCGACATGTCTAAAAGAACTGAGACGTTCACTGAGGAACTGTAAATGATGAAATACCCAAACTAAAAAAAGTTATGACCGGCAGTAACATGATCAAATAAAGGAAGAGGACATTCTCATGAAAGCCCCCAACACTCCCATGTTTTGGGTGGGACAGAACAATTAGCTCACCGCAAACCAATGTGGCCCTTTCCAACTCTTCATTTAAGACTTTCTCCCTGGCTCTTCCCCCTTCATCCTTGTCATTATCAGTGAGGCGGGCCACCAGCTGCAAACAAGCATGTTTGAGTGGTTGAGCCGTCACATTCCACCGTCTATGTGCATTTTGTGGCGGTTTCTAATTACCTGCTAAGAGATGGAGGCCGGTGAGCATGTTGAGGGGCCAAATGGCTAAGTAGGGTATCAAGCCTCTGTGGGCTAAAGACCCCCTCACCCTTCCTCCGAGGAACACAGCTGGCCATTGTTTTAAAGGGGGAGACAGAAAAGGCTCTGGGAGTGGTTGAATCACTGGGGCAAAGTGGGACCCAGTGGGGGGCTTTAACACTCCCCCAACACACACACACACACACACACACACACACACACACGCACCAGAGGCAATGCAACGAGGCCTCCAGTAGTGTCATTCAACAGCCGTGGCCGACCAATCAGTTCCCCCTCCGTCTAAACGTAATCCCACAGGATCGACGGGGTCAGAGGAGAGACCTCCTGAGGGCCAAGGTGAGGTGCACGAAGAGCCGGGAGGAACCGGAGAGCCACAGTCGCCGCGAGGGAGCCTCTGAAAAGCAGCAGGGTTCGCCTTGTTTATACGCAGCTGGAATGTGGCGGTTCTGCTTGCTATTAACCACAGACAACACTCTCTTACATGCCTCTCGTGCATGCGCATTTAAGCTCTCACCCATAAGAGGCAATCTAGTTTTTAAAGGGCCTGGGGCCCTGGGTTTGTTTTAGGAAAATGAAGTGAGCGTCGGAGCAGCACGGGGCAGGGTGGTGGTGAGCACACAGAAGGACACTGAGACGGCCTCGGTGGCCCCGTGCCAGGGAAAACACAAGTGGCATGTCTGGAATCTGGCTTTGGAGGGAAGAGACGGCGGTTTGGACGAGGCCCCAACGCCAAGCGCATGATGGGGTCTCTGAATGGCTTACTGTTAGGGGCCGTTCTGCACCGGAGGAGGAGGGGGGGGATGTCGTGTTCTGTAGTATAACTGACCGTTCTCCCCATTTGGTAACGATTTGCTGAAATGGCTGAGCACGGTTCACAGGCGATGATAGTATGGAAACACGGGACATGTGGAATGTTCAGATAAGTGAGAATGAAAATTAAAAAAAGCTGTCAGAGCTCGGCCCCGAGTGGTCAATAGTCAAAATAATCCTGCGAGTTCTCACAGCAGAAGCATTTGAAAGTCATTACGATTCATGATGCCACATGCTGCGATGACCATCGCACACATGCTGCGATGACTATCGCATTTCCTTACTTTTCTCCTGGTAATTTGATCCATTAACGATTAAGCACAATTTCCTTTCCAGACTTACTGTAGAGGCTACCGAAGGTTTGGTTCAGGCTTACCTCTGTGGGTCTTTACTCCCGTCGGTGCTGTTTTCGGTGCTGCTTCCGTCTCCCTGCGATCTGCTGTCCACCGCTGGGTCCAGCTCTGGGTTGGCGGCCTCCTTATCGGCCTCCGGCACTCCGGGAACGGGGCTCTCTCGGTCCTGCTCGGGCAGAGGTATGAAGCGCCCCTGGCTCCCTACACTGCCGATACTCCCCGTGGGCCCGTGCTGGTGGTGCCTGTCCACGCCCCCTCCGGCACGCTTGGCCTCACTGCATCGTCTCATGGCCTGGAGCTGGGAGAGGGGCACTATATCGGCTCCCTGGGGTCGGTGCCAGACTGTGCGGCGCCCTGTGGAGTTGTAGTAGTAGAAGCGGCCACTCTGGGGGTCGAAGAGCTCCCACCACTGGTTGCCGTCGGCCTGGCGGACAGGAACGCCCGAGGGGGGGTCCCAGCCGCACTCACCACTGGTCAAGTTCACATACATGCGCTCGCGGGAGCGGGGCTCCAGGATCTCCACCCAATCAGAGCTGAATAAGAAGAAACAAGGCAGGAGCATTAACAGATTATCCACCAACAGGACACTGTGTTGCAATAGAGGCCAAGGTCACGCCTCGGTACTAATCAGCTCAACGAGCTGTAAACAACTCACACTGTTTTGCAGACTGAGAGGCCCAACGATGCCCATATGGAGAGAGTCAATGCTTGTGTCCCCTACATGCATCCATCTGTGTGTGTGTGTGCATGTGTTAGCAATGATGTCATCTCTTTCGTTTCCTTAATAAGGGGACAGGTGGACACTCTCAGCAAGACACCAGGCATGGAGTCAGCAAGGGCCCAAAGAGAACCATACGCTCAGAGTGCCACTAAGGCTAAAAACCCATCGAGCTTAACCGCAATCACAGAGCGGCAACAGCCAGCTCAGCACAATACACACAGGCAACAAATAAGAGATAGCGGAGGTGCAAAAATAGAGATAGAAACAACCCAGATTGCAGGAAAGCACACATGCAGATAGGAGGGAGAGCCAATTACATGTAATTAGACCATGAACTGAATTTCAGAGAAATAATAGGACACCATCTGTGTTAATGGGTGCGGCATATTATTGTAATTGAATGATATCGCCCCCATATAACAGGTATGTGCTGTAGCTACCTACATAAAAATCAAGGTCAACAAATGTGTCTGACAAATAAGTGAGGACTGCAGTCATCCAGGTCAGGCTACTCTTTAGTTTCCTTTGATCTAGTTCCTTGATGCAGGCCTCAACTGTGCCAGCAAATCCATGTGGGAACAGGACAACTGCAAACAGCCGGCGAGAGTCCTTCCCCCCCCCCAGTCTCAGACACAGTAGATGTCGAGATCAGAGCGAGAGAAAGGACTCGAAATATAAATTACCACGCTCCTTACTTACTGTCTCTCATACCACTTGAGGGTTTCGCCAAGGTTAGGTCATTTCTCTTCTATCCCACAAAACTCTAGCCTAGTATCTTTGAGAGAAAAGTACCAGTGGAGAGGAATTAGTGTCACAACAATCCGACATAGGTTTGGATATTTTCCCAGCTTTCTCAGGAAAGAGAAGCTTTTCTTCTCCCTGTCACGGTTGTTTGCGACAGGGAGCCTGCTGTCCAGGCTACCTGTGATGATCAGAAAAAGGGGGCACGGAGCTTAGCATGGATAAGAGTGCCGACAATGTCCACCACATATGCACCACATTCGTTTCTCATGTGCCTGCCAAATCAACCCTGAGGTGTGCGGCCCAGGGCTCAGAAATAGAAACGGAGAGGCGGTGCCAGTCGGGTCTGCCAGGGTTGCAATGTCACCGTGATGATGACTACTCACTGGGATCAACAGCTGTTCTCCTCTTTTTAACCGCAAAATCTCTGAGTGACTGTGACCTACCTGTTCATATCGATCTACATCTCTTGTATGTGCTACCAGCACCCATCTCTCCATAGGCTGATTTAACCGCCGGGTAAACATGGAGCATGGAGAGGATATAGGAGCCTTTCACATAAGGTCTTCCCATGTGTCCCAGTGCTCTATGCTGGGAGGCCATCTGGTCCAATCCTTCACACCGGGCAAGTAGCCCTGACCCAAGTAGACTCTACGTGAAGGGTGGGTTTATATTGGGTTTTTAACTCCCCCCTCCCTGAAAAATAAAAGTGCAAGTAAGTGTGTGAATGTGTTTGTGTTGCAGGGGATGGATTCTATACAGCAGAACAGTGTTCACAGTCTGAGGGACCACAAAACGAGGCCCAACTATCAGAAGATGACTTGCAGGCTTGATTAGATTCGCAACGCTTCATGGGAAGGAAGCCTCGCAAATAATGGGGCATTCAAGAGTCAATCCCACCCCACACATACCAGAGTCTACATCCTTTTGCTGCTCCCAGCCTCCAAAAAGAAGGTCTTCCCACTCCGACAAACCGATCTCTCCGCGCTGCATTCCTTGTTATTCAGATTCGTGTTTGTCGGCACTCTCTCTGGAAATGCAGCGTTCATATCAGAATCCAAATAAACCAATCCCTCATGAACGCGCAGTGACAGAAAGCTGAGGCTGTGTGTCCCCGAAACGCCACGACAGTAGGGAAACCAGCACAGAACTCGACATGCCCGACCAGGTCCTGAACACCCCAACAGGAAACCAGGGTTTGAGGGTCACCCCGGAGGCCACGGCTGATGCGTACGGACCGTTCCCTCTGGCTAAATAAACAGCAGTTAGAGCTGAGAGCGAGCCGGCTGGGTTCTGTTGATACGACCAGATAAGCAGGAAGACGGACCAGTGTTCAGGTTCGGAAAAATTCCTGGAACATCCCTTTTGGGAGTACTCAAAAACAACAGGAGTGATGTCCATTACATGGGTTTGTCTAACACAGAGGGGCTTGTCATCTGCAGAATTTACCAGGACTGAGGTGGACACTCTTTGATTTCTCCACATTTAAAATGAAAATAGAACTATTTCCACCGCAACTACCTATTCACACTCACTCTCGAAACATAGGTGATTCCCTGGCATAGAGAGGCAGACATGAAAGTACAGAGCAGCACTTCAAGTAACCGAGGCAGCCTGCCACTTGCTTCAAATGTTCATAAATGGTTTGGAATGCAGCTTGCACGAGCTCAGCAAAGCACAACTCCAACAGAAATGTTTTATGTTGGACTAAAATTAACTTACTACACACACACACACACACACACACACACACACACACGGTCCTTTGACTGAAGGACACAGCACCTGATTTTACCTCTGGGGAAGCTCAGTTTAATTGAAGCGGACTTGCATGCCGCAGGCCTGTGTTGGGGGGTTTGTGTGGTGCTAAAACAGAACCGGATTGCCTTCAGTGACCACAGGAACAGTAGGATTTTACAGATTATTTTCATTAATAGTAACTTCTAGTTCACAAAATACTTTCTTGAATATAAACAGGATCGGTTTTCCCGAATGAATCTATTTTTGCACTAGTTTTTTAAGCTAACCTACATTGTTCACAGTGAGTTTTATCATTCATTTTTTAAAACAACTGCCCACAGCTTTGAAACATTTGGAAATGTAAGTATGAAATACAATGTTCTCTTTGCTCTTGTGTGTAATAACACACCCTCCCGTGGCACACAGGGTCTTTGTCTCCCATTTGGGTCAAGGAGATGCTTCAGCAGCATATTGGTATTCCAAAGCGACTAAAAATAAAGCTTGTCAAATTGTAAAAAAAAAAGAAAAAAAAAAAAAAAAAGAAAAAAAAAGATCTCTGCAAACAGAGCCTGCCAAAGAGACCAAGAGGCCAATGCAAACACACACACACACACACGTGCACACAAGCACCTCTTCTTAACCATCTAGTTAGTTCCTCCCTTTCTCAATGGGCCAGAGGTCTCCCTTCTGAAGAAGAAATACTGAATTTACAGTTCACTCCAAAAATAACTAACAGAGCAGTTTCCCAGAGTGAGGGAAACAACAGAATACAGCTCATGGAATCTGCCCCATTGTTTCGAAGCCAACGCCAAAGAGCAAATGGTACTTTTTCCCCCCCAACAGTGGAAAACACAGAGGACTGGACAATACGGTCACTAGAAATAGGGCAACGAGATGCCTTGTGTCATTGTCCAGCTTTAGATTCCAAACAAACTCAAAATATCAGTGTGGTCCTTTGATTTCGTCAAAGAGATAAATAATACCGTGTAGCGTCGAGTTTTGAACAAACTATGGTTTCATCAGATAATGTAGTAACGGCTGAAATGCAGCTTTCGTGCTTCAGTGCCATTGTGGCATTTCGGATGGACAGATAGGACGCCTTCAGATACTGAGCCAAATGGGGGTTTAACTGCATTACATTTGTCCATATATATATATATATATATATATATATATATATATATATATATACACATGTTACGGTGAATTGATCAGCTCCCATTTACCAAGCAGGACTGTTGTAAGGTAACCTCTGACCTTTACCAACAACAGCCTGTTCTGAGCTTGTGACGGTCCCCTGTGGGCCCGAGGCAGGCTGAGCTCTCACACAGGGCCCGCCATTCATTTAGGAAATCTTAGCACTCTGTTCACCAGGCACAGCAAGAAAAAAAACAAAGTGCAAGGTCCACGCTGGCAGGTATATATTTACAGACCTGCCATTTTCTATTTACAGACATCACACATCCTCTCTCCTCAGACACTGGCTGTGAAATAAGTCATTTCTCAGAGAGAAGAGGAAGGAGTTTAAACTCACCCAGCCGCACAGGTACAACACTATTAAAAATATAGTAACAAAGAGAAACCTGTGGTGATTTGCTCTCTCGGGGGCAAGCAGAGGCCTGTAACTCAATACAATTGAAGGGACGATCTGCCTTAAGCAGACTTCTGTTTGATTATGCATAAATCATGTGCAAAGGCTATTCAGCATGGCTGCTCGGCAACCTGCTTATCTAAATATTGTAAAACAGACAGAGACTGACTACCGAGTGCTTGGCAGCGGTGCCAGTAGCCGTGAGTAATCGTAAACCAGGCGGC